ATGATATGTTTGACATGCACGGTGTTAGTGAAGCGAAGGCATTGAATGAAGCAACTCAAGCTTACCAGATGCGTTGCAACTTAGTGTCAGCGCATGGCGGTAGACCGTGCAGTTTTGGGTGCCATCTTAAGCGCTGCTTCTGCAACTTGTCGTCCTTTCCTCACTGAACATCTAGTGGACGGATTCGAGTTTAAACTCAAGCACGCTAGTAGCGTCAGAGCGCGGCACTTTCAAATCATTTCAAGCTTATGCAGTATTCTTTTGTATTTTCTTGTCATTGCATGGTGATTTTTTTCTGTTTCAATGATGTTTGTAATCGGAATCGTTAGGTTTGTTGTTGCTCAGCAATGTTTCATACTGCTATGTTCGTTTCCTTAGCTCTACAAACGATGAACATGGGGCTTTTTGACATGAAGTTCAACGAAGCAACACTTCAAAATATGTTCCTTATCGAAAAAAAATTTACTAGCATAGTTCCAAAACTTACTCGTCTCTTCAAGCTTGAACCGAAATCAAAGTTGGAAACGAGCATAGTAGCACGAAACATTGCTCTAAGGCAACGAAGTCTTCAATCCCAATTGAAAAGAGTAATGACATTAGCAGTAATAACATTCAAATAATAGAATGAAACCTCAGGAAAACACAAAAAAACCTGTTTAAGATTGAAGTATGGGCTGCAGGTGCCACGCTCGCAATTGGCATGCTTAGTTCAAAATCGAATAAGTTCACCGCGTGTTTGGGGGGGGGGGGGACGAAAAATAAAAAATCTCATACAGAGAACCGAACCCGGTTTGAAATTTAGAATTTTAGTGAATAGTGAAATTTCAAGCTGATCATGAATCAACACGGAGCTTAAAACTGCGAGTTTGGGTTAAATTACTACAGACCCAGATGTGAACTGAGATAAGATAACCAACTTTTCGGTCGACTTAATTCTAAGTGCTTGTTTGAGATAAGGAAACCCTCTTCCAACTTGGAATGTGTTGCTGTTACGATTGTAGAATCAGACGTTGACAATACATATTTTACATTTTGAAGTCGGTCTCTGCTGAAACACTAGCTTGTGCTAACCTTTATCCTATTTTCAACACTCTGAAATGCTAGTAATAGACTCCCAACCCTTGTAGAGTCACGCCTGAGATATTCGGGTAAGAATTTGGCATGCGCTCTGTTAGGACTATAGATATAGAATATAAATATATGTCAATATAAATATATATCGATATAAATAATAAATATATCAATATAAATTTATATCGATATAAATATATCAATATAAGAGAGTCACACGGATCTCCCTCATAGAGGGATCACAGCCGGTTAGTCGCGAGGCTACGTGGGGCGTCCCCAGGTGGCGGATAGGGGGATAATCGCCGACCAAAAGCGACCCCGCGCCTGCTCTGATAAGCAAGCGGAGCCGGAGGACGGACTCCCTGCCTCCACTAAAAGCTTGCGCCCTAATTTCCCGGGTAGGTGTGTGGGGAGGCGAGTTCGGAGTCGCCTCCAACAAATAAGCTCCGATCGTCCCTCGCGGGGGTTTTGAGCCCAACAAGCTATCCCTGCGAGTAAATTCTTGTTCGACACAGTGATAATATGGAAAGCTCCTTCAATCTTGGAAGAGCCACTGGTAAGGCAGCGCCAGTGGGGACAAGGTTTGAAAGGCGATCTAGGCTGCCGAAAACGAGACGGACTATGATGACGATCTGTACTTACAACGCGAGGACGCTGGCATCGGACGCATCTATCGAAGATCTCATGATGCAAGCAAGGAAGATTAAGTACGACGTCATCGGACTGATCGAGACAAGGAGGCACCACCCGCTGAACGCCACATTTGAGACTGGAGAAGAACTGTTTCTAGGAACATGCGACAGTCGAGGAGTAGGTGGAATGGGAGTCCTTGTCAACACGAGTTTGGCCATGAACATCGATTCGTTCGAACAACTTACAACTCGAATCGGACGTTTGCGAATATCAAGATGTGGATCAATCCCTGCCTTGACCGTCTTCATTGCGTACGCCCCAACATCCAGCTACGACGAGGACGAACTCGAGGAATTTTGTATGGACTTGGAGAAGTTCTACAGAGAAGATCATACCTTCTACAAGATCATCGTCGGTGATTTCAACGCGAAGATCGGAACTAGAAGGTCGACTGAGGAACTTCACATCGGAACCCATGGTTTGCAGTGGAAAGAGACTGTCCGAGTTTATCATGACGACGAGGACTATCCATGGAAACTCACAGTTTCAAAAGCCCTCTTCCCTACGCTGGACCTGGGAATCGCCGGGTGGAGAGTACCATAACGAGATTGACCACATCATCGTCAACAGAAGGTACTGCCTGACGGACGTCGCTGTTGTTCCGAAGTTCTACACGGGATCAGACCATCGTCTCCTGCGCGCCAAATTCTACTTTCCGCGGAATGGAGAGAGAGCCGTCAAGTTCAGGAAACATCGTCCCATGAATACCACCAACTGGGATCTGTTTTCTTCGATATCCGGCTCATGGCGAGATACCGTGATGGACAACATCGACGAAGAATACGAACGATTCGTACAACATCTCCACGGTTGTGCCAAGGAAGCTCAGAGTCTAAGAAGTACGAGAAGGCGTCTCACCACGGGGACTTTGGAGCTGATACGCCAACGTGGACGCGCACGAGCCACAGGCAACTACCGACTGACGTCCGAGCTTGCGAAGCGATGCAGAGAAGCGATAAAAGAAGACCTTAAGGAGAGAAGAGTAGCAGTGATGGTTGACGCCGCGGAGGCTGGAAGAAGTATACGCAACGCCCGCCGAAGCTTCGTCAACTTTAAGACAAAGATGACCGCACTTCGTCGTCCTGACGGAACCATAACTGCTTCCCGAAGATCAATGGAGAAGGTCATCCACGACTTCTACTCGGATCTTTTTGCGAGCCACGTCCACCTTCCACCATGCCATCTCAAGGAGGACGAGTATGTCGCACCGTCTGCTCTTCCTTCCGAGATTCGTCATGCTATCATGTCGATGAAAAACCGTACAGCACCCGGTCCCGACAGGATTAAGCCAGAACATCTGAAGAATCTTTCGCCAGTTCTCATCAAGACTTTGGCAAGGCTCTTCACGCGGTACCTGACGGAAGGCAAGGTTCCAAGGCAATGGAAGACCAGCAAAACCGTGTTGCTGTACAAGAAGGGAGATCCCTGCGACATCGGCAATTATCGCCCTATCTGCTTGTTGTCTGTAGTCTACAAACTCTTTACGCGAGTCATTCTCAACAGGATCGGAAGAGAGTTGGACGAAGGACAACCATGCGAGCAAGCTGGGTTTCGAAGAGGATTCAGCACGATCGACCACATACACACGGTGTCAAGGCTCATTGAAGTGTCACGAGAGTATAAGATGCCGCTCTGTCTCACCTTCATCGACTTGAAGAAGGCCTTTGACTCGGTTGAGACTGAAGCCGTCATCGATGCCTTGAGCAATCAAGGTATTCCGACTCATTACATCAAGATAATTCGTGAGCTGTATAACGACTTCACAACCACCATAACACCATTCTACAAGGACATCATCATTGACGTGAAGAGAGGCGTGCGACAAGGCGATACTATATCGCCGAAACTATTTAGTGCCGCTCTGGAGAACGTCATGCGTAAGTTGGAATGGGACAACATGGGAGTGAAAGTCGACGGCCGGCAGCTACACCACCTTCGCTTTGCTGATGACATCGTATTGAAAACACCAAGCATCACGCAGGCGGAACAAATGCTGGCCCAGTTTGACGAAGTGTGTGGAAAGATCGGTCTACGGCTGAATCTAACGAAGACGATGTTCATGAGGAACGGAAGAGTGCCTGATGCTCCTTTCATGCTCAACGGGACGAACATCACCGAATGCTCAAGCTACACCTACCTAGGTCGTGAACTCAATATGATGAACGATCTAGCTCCGGAACTGAGCAGGAGGAAACGTGCAGCATGGGGAGCATATAAGACAATTGAGGACGTAGTGAAGAAGACCAAGAACATCCGGCTCCGCGCCCACCTTTTCAACTCGACGGTTCTTCCTGCTTTGACGTACGCTTCAGAAACATGGACAATGAGAAAGCAGGATGAACACGCGGTTAGCGTCATCGAACGAGCTGTTGAGAGAGTGATGCTAGGAGTGAATCGACTCACGCAAGTGAGGCAAGGATTACGAAGTTCTACCCTACGTCAACGATCGAAGATCAGGGACGCTGCCGCGTACGCCAAGCAGAACAAGATAAGATGGGCCGGGCACGTAATGCGTTTCGACGATAACCGGTGGACGAGAGCTGTAACAGATTGGATACCACTGGACGTCAAACGCGAACGAGGAAGAACGCCGACGCGATGGTCAGATATGTTCACGAAGTTCTCTAATGAAGTCCTTTAGAGCGTTCCACGTGTTCCTGGTGCGATACGTAAACATTGGTCAACAATCGCCCGAGACAGGGACGAATGGAGGCATCACTGGTACCCGCTCGTGCAACACGATGATCAACGGGGATACAGGTGATACAGGTGATAAGAGAGTCACAGTCGTTAATAGTACCGCTTGTAGAGCATTACTGTTAGAGACGCTTGCGTGAAGCGGTCTTACATCAAATGAATTCATTACGTTAGCCTTCGTCAAATTTAGCTTATATAGTCCCTCATAGGAATGTTCAGTGTTAGGCAAGTAAGACGGGATTTTGCGCAAAATTGAGTAATATTTGTACCAAAACCTTGAACTTCTACCGGTTATCATGCAGTCATTAGCTTCAATTTTCTGTAACGCTTCATCTTCAAAATTTTGATGACTTAGTATGTTTGGCTGGAGTAGAAGTAGGCAAGCTTATCTACACTAAGTGTGACATTTTTCTCTGTATCTTTTTGCTTAGTCGTTATTTCTGAAGTCGTGTTTCTGTAAACTATGAGTTATCTGCAATTAGGTTTTATTTTTCCAACAACCCTGGATCCAGAAAATTTTCTGAATATGAGTATCTGTAGACCTTCGAAAAACTACATTAGACTGCTGTGAGCGCATTTGCATGATAATTGTAGACAGGCGTACGATGTCATGTCAATGTCATTTATACATACATACAGAATACAGGAGCCCATTAAAATAGTCAAAACAAGTTTATGAAAATGTGTTACAGCTTCCAATTCTTCGAAACATCATTTCCAAACAGAACAGGGAGGCATGGAACATGGTGAAATAGGAGGCATTGGAGGAGGCATTGGAGGAGGCATAGGAGGAGGTGGTGGACGCCATCTATGCCGTCTTCTTTTATGACATCCACTATAGCAAGGAGGTGGTGGAGGTGGTGGTGGTGGTGGAGGAGGTGGAGGAGGTGGTGGTGGTGGTGGTGGAGGTGGAGGCGGTGGTGAAGGCTGCTGACTACATGGCGGAACGCAAGACGATGCGACCGGTTGCACATAAGTAGTCACTTGAATCACCTTGGTTACTTTAGTTGCAGGTGCACAGCGACTGCCGATGCATCGTCGTCGCCTAAAATAGATTGATTTTGTATAGCTACATCACTGCCCGGTAAGTTGGAACCAGGTGCCGAAAATGTTGTTCATGGGGGGGGGGTGAAATGGAAGAGAAAGTACAAAACTTTCTCTCAGGACCTCATTTGAACAATGCTGCTTATTTCTTGTTTTGGGTCAAGTTGTGTATTATTTCTGAAAAAGAAGGCACTCTAGAGATTGTTTTTTTTGCGTCTGTGAGCAAGAGCTTCGGAATAAGCAGAAGGCATCATTTATTTAACCAAACGTTGGAAAATATCCATCCAGACATTTCAACAAATCAGGGTTCATTAGTTACATGTTCTAGAGCGAGCTCTCTCTCGCACAGCGCGGAAATTCAAAGTTGTGTCACAAAAAACAAAAGCCTCGTTTACAATCAAAACGGTCTTTAATGCTTTAAACTGCATTTTTGGGAACGCTCTTAAAAAGATGCACACATTGACTTGTGCAAATACTCATGTACATCGGTCCTAAGTCGATGGGATACCTCCGGAGCAGAAGTGGCAGGGTCGCGGGCTTTTCCCAGCGGAAAATTGCCACTTCGCGCTCCGGAGCCCTGCCATTTCACGCATTTTTGTGCTCCGGGGCTCTCCCAAAAGTGGCGCATCTCCGGAGCAGAGATTTGCGCGTCGCGGAGAGGGGTCCCATTCGTCCTGTTTGTGACGTCACCGTGACGTCACGGTGAATGAATGGGACCCCTCTCCGCGACGCGCAAATCTCTGCTCCGGACGTGCGCCACTTTTGGAAGAGCCCCGGAGCACAAAAATGCGTGAAATGCAGTGCTCCGGAGCGCGAAGTGGCAGACCCACGCCATATGCCCGCCGGAAGTATCCCTTCGATGTCTGAGTCAATGTTATTTGAGTTTGAGCTGAGGTGTTTTAATAGAATTATTAGACTTGAAAAATGAGGCGGCGTAGAGTCCCTAAGTATTTTTGGGGCGTTCATACATACTGCTCATGAAACGGGAATAAGGTGAAGCATTGTTTCACAACAGCAATCCCCGAAATGGTCTCTGTCCACATGATTATCTCACCCGAGATGGACTGTCAGAACTTATAACTGATGGATGGTGATTGGTGAATGATGATTCAAAGTACGTTGATAAATTCGTGCATTTTCTTTCAGCACAATGAACCATCATGCCTGATTGATATGTTTGTTTTTCACACATATTAGAAATTTACACTTCTGTTGTCTATCCGGCAATTTCAAAATTGAATTTTAGAATATCTTTGTTATGTGTACATGTTTCCCACAAATATTTGACCGCTAAAGCACATATAACCTCATAACCATCTTTACTAACGATACTGAAGAATTTTTCTGATTCCACGCAAAGATTACACTTCATCCACTCCTACTGCAATATAATGCTAATGTATCAGTTTGCAAACGTACCTTACTATATTTCCATTGACAAGCGCTGTACAAATAAGTAGGAAAACAGCTGGTAGTTGCATGAGAAATTGACTCGAAGGCTCAGCTCCATCTCTGACTCTTTCTCTGACATTAATATACCAGCGCACCGGTTTTGTGTTGGCCAAACGTATTGTAAACCTGTGTGCTACTTCCCAGTTTTTCTTCCGATCCCCTGTACTCTCATTCGCCAAATTTTGAATGTCCAAGTTCAACTGATGTGGCTCAGTCACGTGCCACTTAGGAAAAAACAAATCTCTTTTCAATATATATCATCGTGAAACAACTAAGGTTTGTCATTCTGCCAACAAAAAAAGATGAAAATTAGGGCCCTTTCGAAGTGTAATTCTCAGTCGCCAAGTATTGCTCAGGAGGCTGACAAATTGCGAAATGAGCGTACACTGCTTGGGATTGGAAGTACATGTAGGTCGCTCACTCCAAAATGCGCCAGCAATATGAAGAACGTTAGTATATTGCTTATGAGCGAATGGTCAGAGGTCGACGTGGCCAATCCAAACAAGCTGCATACCGTTTGATGCAGCATAGGACGCTGATATCAAATCTGCCTTTGTAGGCGAAGTTATGAGCAGCTCTACTGCGGAAAAATCGTACACAGAAATTGCGAAATTGAGCACATTATTGCCCTTTTATCTCATTTCTAGGTGTGGGCCACATAAAGTGACCCAGTTGCACGTTTTGATTAAGCATTGAGCCGAGATTGTCCAGTACGGTCAAGTTTGTCCTTTACACGCATAATTTTTAAGCAAAATAATGGCCTTTAACGGCTTATAACTTCATCCATAAAAGTGTTTTTCAGATAATGATGACAAATTTAGAATCGGCGTTTTATGCTGCATCTAATAATGGTGTGCAGCTTGCATGAATTGGCCACTTCGATTTCTGATCATTCTCTTGTTAGACATTACTCAAAAATGATAGGCCACGAAAATCGTGCAGGAAAACGCTGCGATCGGTTTTTAGCATGCAAAGCTTGTATCAATTACCTCATCTGAAAAGCTATGTTTCAAGCCCATCTATGAGCGTTTTACTACTGCCTAAGCAAGTTCCTAGTGGTCAGAAATCGCAATATTGATAAATTCTACTCTTGTGTTGCCATTATTCCCTGAGCGAATTGAGTCAGCACTGAATCTTTCGCTTTTTGAAACATTTATGCCAAACCTGGAGCACTCCAAGTTTGCGTTTGCTTTGGGAAATCTTAAATAGCCTATGTTGACTTCGTCTCTTTTCTGAGGGTGTGAGGGATTCATGCGCACTTGTCTCACATTCAAGCGTGAGGACCATGATTTGCCTATTATGCAATGTAATTTACTGTCTTATTTTATCTATAACGAAAATTCAAATACAGAGCAGTGCTTTTTTCTTACAATATTCATACAACTTCTACAGACAGTTATGTGCTAAGGCTAAGATACAAAGTGAAGTCCAAAAGATCTTTGATTTCCAATCTTGCAACAACCACAATACCTCTCAAAATTTGCGAAAAAAGACGCGATGATCACCCGAGTCAGCCGACATCAGCGTCGCATCGCTGTGATCCTAAAACAGACAAATTTCAAATTTAAGAAGCCACTCAACTCGACACGGCGGGGCGCATCTTTGATGATGAAAGTGGCTATTTGAATGAGGTACGTTTGCGATAGCTAGTCGCTTTTCACAATTTTTTTTCTGATTTTGACCTGCGGTACTCAGTGTGTTTTTTAGGCAGGTTTCTATGAAAAAATCTGAAAAGATTTGTGAAGATGACTGGCTACCACGAACGTACCGCTCAGACAGCCACAGTGCTATGTTGAGTGGCAACCTCGGATTCAGAATTCGCCCACTAAAGCGAGACATGGCGATGCTAAATCGCCAGACTCAGTGAACGATCGTGTTATTTGAGATTATGGACGATATGTCCTCATTAACATCTACTGATAGCAATATAATCCAGCAGGAACCGTTTTCCGGCACAAAATGCCATTGCATTTGAAGAATGGCGATAGCTACACTTACATAACTTTTAACATTGAGCTTCTTTTGAAAGTTATTTACTTGTCCCATACAATGCTTTGTAGGGGTTAACGTATCGCGTTGAATGGAGGTCGCTTGTGGTTCGCTTATTTCAATTTTTTCAAAAGTTCAAGATAAAGCGCGGTGTCAACACAATTTCTCGCATCGACATTTATTACAAAGTACAGCTCAAAGAACGCGCCATGATTGCGAAAGTTTAAAGTGAATCATAGAGATGACACTGCCAGAAAAGAATGGAACCAAAAACTGAGAATCAGAGTTTTTGTTGAGTTATCCCAAAGAAAACCTCAAACCTTCTACTATATAGGGGTGTTCCAAAAAATGTGCCCATTGTTGATCACGACTAATTATACTGCTTCCAGGTCTTGGCAATCTTAACATACCGTTCTGAAAGGCTGGCTTCAACTCAAATTTACAGAATAGAACAAATCTCCGATTTTTCTCTGGAACGGGATGAAGAAAATACAAAAATCTCAATCTCATGCAATTTTTGGAGGATAATCGCATTTTTGTAGGCCATGGAAAAGCATTTGTTACCGTACAGCTAAAAAATTTTCGGGAAAAGCAGATGTGCAAACCTCATATTCAGAATCAGTGACTCGGCTAGCCTAATACAAAATTTTTGGCTTGTTTGGTCTTTTTCCCAATGGAGAAAGGGGCTCTCAGAGGCTCAGAACATTCTTCAAATTTGCTATCGTTGTCCTACGGTAGCGAAGAAACATCGCAAAAAGACATTGAAGCAGTAGAATTATTAACGATTAAACAATGTGTGCGGCATAGATGTAATCGCTTAGAAATACAGTCATCTTCACAGCAAGCAACATCCAGACTAATACAGCTTTCTTTTGTACTTAGAAGCTTTCCAGCTTTATTATGCGCTTGCTGCTTGCTTTCTTCTTTCCAGCGTTCTGTTGACAGGATTTACTATTGTTTTCGATGCCTAGCTATGGAAAAAATGATACAGTTGTACCGGAATGTTTAGTGAGGTAAGTTCCACCTGGGATAAGACATGGCGGCAAGTTCGCCAACCTCATGACATTCGGGCTTAAGTTGCACTCTAGATATTGCAGGCAATCATCAAGCAGTGTACGATCTCAAAACCACTGCATTCGCTAAAAGTTCTAGTCTGACCACCAGGGTTAGCCTTAGAAATTGAACTACTGTGCAGCCTAAAAAGCATTTCTGGAATTCTTCCCAAGACTGGCCGCAAACACACCCACCTTCGCAATCATGCACACTCTATACTTTGACAATGTCTCCCAATACATGGAGTCATTTCTTATAAAGAGACTAAAACTCGCTCAAGCATTCTATTGGGTAATCTAACAAAAAGGTCTTGCCGTACGAAGCCCATGGCTCATCCCTCTTCTAAGACAAGTCCACTTTGCTTTTTTGTTTTTAAGAGTGAAAGTACAATATTCGTGAAGTAGAAGCGGTCAAAACCAAAAATATCCCGCGGGATGGACTCACTGAGTCTTTCCTTTCCTCGATACCAAGCCTTTTTGCTTTTTATGCTTTTATAAGCAGGAGTACAGTTTCCGCAAAGCAGAAGCGGCCAAAAGTGAATTTTAATCAAGTTTCAGTATAAATTGGGAATAAAACCAAGAAATTCTTAGCAAAGATGTCCTGCCGCTGAAGCCCATGGGTCTCTCCTTCCTTCGAGATCATGCTCTCTGCTTAAATTGTTTTTAGAAGCAGAAGTTAATTTTTGCGAAGTAGGAGTTCTAGCATTTGAAACAAGAATTTCTTAGCAAAAATGTCCTCTGCAAAAACGATCCTACGGGCGCTAGTGGTGGGTTTGGGGCAGATAACATTGATGACTGTCTGCATGCAACTAAGAATAGCAAGGAACTGAATTTTCATTCTTTCAACGATCTTTGGCGCAATGTAGGTAATAGTGGAAGCAAGATCATATTCTCAAAGAAACTTTTGACAATTGGTAATTTCCAAATTAACTGCATATTCTTCTTACAAATACTTTACCGCAGCTACCAGAGCTTCTAAACATGGGAAAAACCTCAACAGTCACCTATGTAGAACAGCTGATTCATCTCGAAACTCAGTAACTTTGCAACGGCCTTTTAATCTCTCTCCAAGAAACGATCATTCCTTAAAGCGAAATTAAAGCTCGCTCAAAGCTTTCTCTTGGACATTTTTAGAAAATGTTCTGCCGCAAGAAGCCTTTGGATCTTCCTTTTTTCAGAAAAGCTCCCCTTTCTTTTTCTGCTTTTAGGAGCAGAGATACGAATTCTGCGAAGTAGAAGCGGCAAAAAGTGTATCTCAAGCGAGCTTTTGTATAATTTAGCATCAACGAGAAATTGTTAGCAGAAATGCACTCCGTGTGAACCCCTTAGAACTTTTCTTCCTTCGAAATCAAATTCCTTTTGCTTTTTATGCTTTCTAGAGCAGAAGTGTGATTTTCACAAAATAGAAGCAGCAAAAATGAATGTCCAGCAAGTTGCCGTAAAATTTTACATCAACATCTAGTTGGCAAAGTTACCAACATTTTGCCTAAAGGAGCGGTGACCGAGCCGCTGCAAAAGGATGGAGCTACTGTAACATTGAGTAAGCTCCGAGAGAAGCCCATCGAGAAGTGCCGCTTGTGTTTCCGGTTTCCGACTCCAGGTTTCTTTTTCCAGTGGCACTCTGACTTTTGTGCTAAAGCCATTCACAACAAATTTGTGGAAATGCAAATTCTCATATTTAGTTTTCGATTTTTTCTAGTCGCCGGGTCTGATTTCTTGGCTTTTTCAGTGTTTCAGTTTTGGCAAAGAGTGCACTAGTTTTCAACGAGATTTGGATAGTCTAAAGATCGCGTTCTGTAAGCTTATGCAATCTCGTCTACCATGTAATTTGCCCCAGTTGTAGTTTTCGAGTTCCTGCGGTTTTTGAAGATCATTTGAAGATATAAGATTCATTCAAGCTCTAACAGAGAAAATACAAGCTCAATGTATTTTGGAACAAAATGTAGATAATGTGAATCCAGGCGACCATTGAAGGTAATCCTTTATACTCAAGGTTGTCTGGATTGAATCTACTCGGACAACTG